CTAGTGCATGTTTTTGCATTGGTTTGTATGTAGCATGCTTGTGTTTTCCTCACTTTTGTAAGTGGGAGAGTTTTTCTCTCACATGTATGTTTTGCATGTTGATCTGCATTTGTATGCATGTTTTGTCATCTTCATGTTTTGCATAAAATGTTTTGCATGTTGATCTGCATTTGTATGCATGTTTCTTTGTCATTTTCATGACATATGGACTTTGAGTCTGAGCTCTTGAGGTTTAATCTCTCAAGGATCTTGTGCAAACATTTTGCATTTTGTATGCACTCTTAATTTCATCGTCTTCCAATGAATTTTGACCTAGTGTCAATGATATTGAGATATATTCTCTAAGGCATCATCTTTTTATGATATAGTTTATGCAATTCTTGTGTGCATATCCATGCACGTAGGGTCTACTTTGTCAAGCAATACCCATTTTGTATTGCACCATATAGGTCTAGGTTTCATGAGTTAGCATGTCAATGATAGTACTTGGATGACCCTTAGTATAACATGTGGTTACAATAGGAAAATTATCATTACTCGATCGCTCATCCGTACAAGTTATGTGAGTTATCCTATTATTATTAGATCACATAAAATCATTTCAAGCATAGGTCCAAGTTAACATTTTGCCACTCATCGCAAAGAGTGTTAATTCATTCAAATGCTCAAAATGGGGACAGCTTGATGACTCTGTTGGAGATCATCGAGAAAGCCCTTAGCCCCTGCATTGCATGACTCACACGTAGATGTATGTGTAGGCAACACCTTGAATTTTCTATTTAGAACTAAATCTAGAGTTTAGTTAAGGATTTCAAACATAATTATTATTCCTTGGTGTGTGCTAGACATTGCACACTTTATGTGCCTTGGTACATGCTTTAGTAAGTCTGAGAACTATGTAATAGCTTGTTAGGGCAAATTTTCTTTGCAGAGTGTTGTATCTAATAGGTTGGAGCTCAATACTTATTTAAATTAACACCTTTTCTATAGGTGTTGTCTATCTCTCCTCCCACTAGATATAACCTTTTATATTTTGTATGAGATAACCATTGCTAACCTTTTTTTTTCCAAGTCAAGTCTTTCTTTAAACTTTTCCATGTACTATTTAGAGTACCCTTTCAAAGAGTCTCTACCAGAAATAAGGTATGAGCAAGTGTCTTGAAGCTTGGATCAGGGATCCGAGGGAAAGGACAATGAGCTATTTGCTCGTGTCACGAATCTTATATTGAAATTATACATTTATTATAGAGTTTGTGACTGTCTCTTTTTCTTTTTGGGATTGTAGCTTGGACAACGACACCCAAGCTTTTATTCTTCTATATGGAATATTTTTTATCACACCTTGCATGTGTTCACTCTTTATTATGCATGTGGTGTGACTAGATATGATCATGATTAGGCTCTTTTTTAAGTTAAAATATTTTCTATAAAAGTTAATCTTAAAAGATTTATCTTGATAAAATTTAAGATTAAAATTATAAGATTTTAAAATCAGTATTTTTATTACCTATCTTTATTGTATTGTATGGCATTTGGGTCGTAGTTAAAATGACCATAAAATATGTGAATAAATCCACCTTGTATATTAATAGGGTCTGCATAATTAAAATGTATTAGATAATTGTATGCATACTGCATGTCCTGAGGAAAGCATACATGCTTTCCAAACTGACTAACCCAACATATATTTATACGATTAGATGGTTGTCTAGTGCATGTAATTTAGGGTTTTAGAGGCTTTCCCAATCCATACGAGATTGTACACACTTTTTGGGGCAGACTAGCTTTGTATGCTGAGTCATTCTTTCTTTCTTCTATTTATGTTTTCCATTCATAACCTTGGCAAGTATAACCCCTACTCTATCTTTTTTTTTTATTATTATTGTGACAATTCAGATCAAGATGAAGATTAGTTCCCTCTCATTCCCACCTTAGATGGTGCTTTCTAAGTATATGATGCGGGGGTCTTAACAAAAATGAGGGTCCCTCATCTCAACCTGAGTTTTATTCTGTAGACCAGGCTAGCAACTTCCTCGATGGGTTTGATCTCTACAGGTCCCTTATTGAGGATATCTAACATATCCGATTGAGAAGTGGTAGGATGCTCCCACATAAAGTAAGGAATGCCACCCCTTAGGATAAGAGAAGAGATACAGTTACTAGAGATATCGACAACATCCATATGCCTCGAGCTCAAGATACGAGCCATGATAGTTAGTGGCATGGTGGACTATAACATTTTAGCTCACCTTAAGAAGCTTCCAATATTTTTGAGCATTTTTAATGCGCTAATATTGTCTCGTGAGGTGCGAGAGAGTTTGATTAAGGATCTTTTAGAGCCCGAAGTTTTTCAAACCATTTTTGTTGTGAAGTTGAAAGAATTAGGCCTCTCATAAGACGTGCTTAGTATTTTCTTCATCGATGATGACCTTCTGTTGGGTACCACTGAGCATAATCACCCATTATATGTGACGACCTTAGTCTATTGCGTTTCATTGAACGTTATAAGGCTAGACCCTAGTGTGTCAGTAAATATTATGAGCATCCCCACCTTGAATTATTGTCTCGACTCAAAATGGCTAGGTTTTGATAGGTTGATGATGACAGGCTTTAATGAGAAAAGTCGGGCCACTTTTGGCTCCATAGTTATTTCTCTTCATTTTGGGGAATTGAAGATGAACTTCAAATTTCACATGATCAACATTTAGATCCCTTTTAAGAAACTGTTGGGTCAACCATGGATTCACACCTTTGAGATAAGTATCATGAATGTCAAAAACAGGTGAAAAAACACTTACCAAAAAACACTTACCAAACAATTGGTAAGTGTTTTTTTAAATTTTAGTTGCATGTTTTCACAAAATTTTTCAAATCCGAATACTAGCTTATACAAATTCAATTTATATTTTGAAAATTGAGTAATTGAATTGATCGTCAATCCAAGAACAAAAAAATGATTTTTTTTCACATGTATGATGACTAGTCATACATATAAACATGGTTAATATATTAGTTAGATTTCAAAAACCAACATATGTAAAACTACTAGTTCCAAATATTGGTTGCCACCTTGTGTAGATTTCCAAGTTGCAAAAATCGGCTCCTAGAAATTACAAAGCTTCGTAATATCAAGGATCGTCTATATGTTGAGCAAGTGTAATTCTCTATATTATAGACACTGTCATAGCACTTTTGAACTAAAAAGTAACATATAATCAAGTGAAAGCATGTACAGATACAATAAAACACCAAATGAGCACGTTAAGAAAATCCGCTCATTGAAGAGCACTTCACAACAAAAAATAGCATGCCGATGTTCAATATTATTACTATCATAAAATTGGAAATACTCCACCTCTGCGCGATTTGATAAAATATCACAATCATGGTTTTATTTGTTTACCAAAAATCATACCAAGATTGCATGGAGCATGCACATTTTCTGATATAAATGGACACAATTTAATTTAGATACCAAAAATCAAAACATGATCATTTTCGTTGGCTTGTATAGTTGTATATATATCTTGTATCATATGCTGAACCCTTAGATCTTAAGCCGTACGTAGAACTAATTGAGATGTGTGCCACTTAAATAGCAGATTCTCAAAGCAAATGAAGGAACATCCGATCATATTTGCAACACTAAAGCCAACAGATGGAGAAAGGATAACATTTGGGCAAAATGTGCATGAAATTGATCATCTGAATAATAATCACTACAGGAAACAGTCATTTTTAGTCTAAATATCCAGAAAAAATTACAGCATTTCGGTCTAAAATCTGCATTACCAACAAATTAACCACGGAGTTTAATCAAGCATAATATCATTGGTTGAAAATCTATTTCAATGATCGTAAAATCTGTTGTAAATATTTTTTGATGAATAATCAATCCAAAAATTTCCGCTAAAAAGTATATGCTAAACCCACCAACAAGACGAATTTAGGATAAACAATGACAGAAAACCATCAGATATGTCACTGGGACTGAAACGGCTGAAATATCTGCCGGTTCAATATGTAAGACAAAACGTCGCAGAATTGTATATCGTTATTACCAGCAGACGATATGCCGGAAACCTGTAATTAAAGAAAAATAAATATTAAAAACCTTGAACAATGGCATCTCTACACCTATGATATAAACACAAAATATATGCAATTATCTTGAGCACATCTCACAGTTCTGTAGTACCAATTAGTCACAACCATAATAAGGATAATCCCTACAAATATAACTACAAATCATAACAGTAAAAGATACAACCAAATAAAGAACAATGCATCCGTCTCCAAAAAATATATCATTAGATGTAATTGTCCAATAAAACAGCAACAAAAATCTGGAGAAAAAAACCAAAAAAAAAAAAAACTAATCATGATCAATCTCATCAACATAATCTTACTACTGCACCAATATTGATTGTTTCCCCTTGTGATTTGCGTTGTGTTGTATCTGTTCCATCCTGGCTTCCATGTTAGCTAGCCGAGCTTCCATCTAAGCAGTTACTTGAGCTTTAATGTGCAGAGCAAAGCCACAACACTTCGACTTACTAGTTTATCAATAAATGCAGAACTCCCGCCAGAAAATGAATGTCATGTATCATATGCTGAACCCTTAGATCTTAAGCCGTATATTTTTCCCTTGGCTTCTCTCCGGATGTCAAACTCTGATTGCTCAGACTAGCCATTTGAACTTTCAGCACCTCCTAATATATGACTCTCAATATCCTTCAACCACACAGGAAATTGTATCGGGATAAAAAGCAAAGTATATTTGCAGATGAATTATAATAATCTAAGAATAAATATTATGCACATAAGTTCCCTATGAGTTGACGTCGATCTACGTTGCTATATAACTCAAGAGCAGTGACTTCTCTTCCAAATACATGTTTCGATTAACACAATTATAACTCAAGAGCAGTGAGTTCTCTTCCAAATACATGTTTCGATTAACACAATTAAAAAATATTAAGCAACACTTATACATTTTATTATACAGTGATTACACCTTACCAATCTCCACTGATAATGAGTATGTAGAACCGAACCTCCAATGTGTAAAGAAACTACCCATGTCCCCACAGTCTATTGTCTGATTCTGCTTGCTTTGCTCCCTCTTACAAACATAAACAGAGGAGACACAGACTTTGCATAACTCAGCCTAACCTCCTTCCCATTCCAGAGGCGTCTCTATCCTGACTTGCATATGTTCATGAATATATCACACAGGCGAGTGGCACTGCTAATCTCAATATTTTGCCTGATCTGTTGATTACGTTCCAGCAGCCGCCAAAATTATTTTTATACGGCAAACTATATCAGTTAAATTAGTTAATAATATAATATCAAGATCATTTATACTCAATATTGTTTAAGCAATACAACAAACTCTCTAAACACATGTCCCAGGATAAATAAGAAACATCATATTTGCTCTGGATAATATCCTTGATATTATGAATAAACTATATAAAAGAATTAAAAATAAAAACAAAAACAAAAATTATCAAATATAAAATAAGTGCATATTTTATGCTATAAATTACTTAACTATTCCCATTTGGCTCGATGTAGGAGTGTCTCATAGTATTTGAGATACCAATCTCAGCAATAGCTGATGGACTTGGCTGACATGACTGGTAGTGGTGTTGCTGCCTGATGAAGCTAATAAGAGTAGAAGGGAGTGGTATCGATAGGGGATGGGGAGTGATAAGGTCAGTGACTGTGCGGGTGTAGTATGTTGTACTGAGATGGGCGTTGAGGTCGCAGTGGATACTGTAACATTAGTATTCATCTGGTAGTTGGGGTAAGAAACAATCTTCTTTGGATGCTGTAACATTAGTATTCACTGGTAGATGGGTAAACAATCTTCTTCTTCATAAAAATGCTGATGATCGATCTATGAGGGAGATCGTCACTACCACCTGATGTTTTGGAAAGGAACAAATAAATTGATTAATTCAAGTAAAACGGTTCAATTTGCTAAATAAAAGAAAATGTACACAATTAAATACATGATAAAAAAAAGCAAAAAAAAAAAATTGTTACTATGTACACATATGTTATTATGACTGCTCAAATGAATGATTAGAGGTTAAATTTAAAATTTTCTCATTAATATCATCACCAAACTCACTAACTTTCTCATTATCGCGACTAGCATCTTCTAAGTTTATCACTTGCTCAACATCATCAGTTAGAATTCTGAAGTCTTACATCTATTCTTCCTGATGAGCATATTTAATAATATTTATAACCTCAATTGTTGTTCTAAATTAGGTCTTAATGACTACTATCAAATCCATTTTCTGCTTTATTCTTCCAAGATATCTAAATGATAAAACTGACTGGTTTGATGTGCTATAATGAAAGAAACAAATTTAGTGTATCGTTTATTGATTTTAACTCGAGTGGCATCGTATGGCTTATGTGTTCTTGTTCTGCAGTTAAGAGTGGGATCAAACCAATTGCCATTGAATAAAAAAACACTTCTCTTCATCGAACTAGGATACTGCAACTACATAATTTCATAAATAATTCCATAATAATCTCTGTTCATTTTAATTTATGTTTCCTCTAACGCAAAAAGTTGATTTATTTGTTTACTTTTTCCCTTTGGGGCTTGCGTGAAATATATAGCTATTCAAATAAAAAATTGATCATGTATTCACAATATGCATGGTTCCCCAAACAAAATCTAGTATGCCATGATTCTTAAATTCATTACTTCGATCATGAACATATTAAGCACATCAACACGAAAGTGTAGTTATTGAATCTAACCTAAAAATTAAACGAGTAATCAAGATAACTCACATGCAATTTAAACTAGGTTGAGAACTCTTCTTCAATCTTCTTACTCATATTAGTCTTATCATCCAAATTCAATGAGTTCAGAAGTAATTTAGCCCTGCAATTATTATTTTCAAAATTGAATATTTTATTAAATTTCATTGCAATTGATAAGAACAATCA